CCAATAGCATGTGGGTTTATTACTATAGTTCTGTAGTACAACTTGAAATTATGATGGTGATACCTCAAACAGTTCTTTTATTGTTCATTTCTCTCTTACTTTCTTTTCCTTAAGAAGGGAAATTAAGTTTCAGGATACATTAATTGCTCCTGACTCTGAATGCAATATGACCACCTGCTTCAATCTCCTGTGGCCTTGAGTTCCCCAGCATGATGTGCCATACCTTGAACTGTGAGATAAGTAAGCCATTGTCCTTTTAGTTGCTTTTGTCTGGTTGTCTCATCATAGTAATTAAGCTTCATGTAACATAGAGTTTTCATAAATGTTCCAAAGTAACAGGGTCCTGGCACTTGTGAGGATCCACTGGAGACTGTAAAGCTGAGATATGGCTTCAAGGCCTATCACAGCTGTGATACACTCTTCTAACAATTACTTTAACAATGGTATAATTATTCTAAAGCATAGTTACTACCCAAGAAATGCACTGGCATGGTTCCTAATCCCACATCTCTAATCATCAATGTACAGTAGTCCCAATAAAGTCTCTCTGAAATAAGCAAAGTTCCCTTGAGTCCTAAAACTTCCCTTCTACAGCAAAGTTCCAAATACACAAAATAAATATTCTGGATTTGCTGACTTTGTGCTCCACTTCTTTTTTAGGGAGAATTAAATGTTGAGGTTCTGATTTTGAATTACTTCAATCTCTGATTCAATAAAGTTTTCAAAACTGCCTTGGGAAATTTTCACTTATTCCTACTTTAACATTGTTTCAAATCTCTTTTTAACTAAAGCACATGCCATGTCTTATATAGTCTCTGTTTATAAACAGATGTTTATATTGCATTTTGACATCATACTGTGGATTATGCTAAATTTTCCAATATGTGGTAAGAAAAGAAATTGATCCTCTTGTGGGACTCCTAACAGTGAGAACAGGGGCTATCTCTAACTCTGCTGCCTGCTTTTAGGATCACTTCTTCCTACAGAGTAACCTGATCAAGACTTAACATGAGAGGAGGTGCCTAGTTTCACTGAAACTTGATATGCCATGGCTAGCTGATATCCATGGCAGGCCTGCCTTTTTCTGAAAAGAAAGGAGGGAGAGTGGGTGAGGGAGGGGAGTCTAGAAGCAGTGGAGGGAGGAGAAACTGAGGTCAGGATGCACCAGCAATAAACAAACAAAAACCAAATAAAACAAATAAATACAAAACAGAAAAAATCAGTAACATAGTCAATGGACAAAGTAATCCTTATCCTCAAACTTTTGTGACTAGAGGACAATCTGAGTGATAAGATTGTCCAGAGAAGCACCAACCAAATTGCAGCTCTTGTGGATATTCTACATTATCCAGTGAAGATCATCAACCACATGGCATCTCTGGTATTAATGCTATAATACCCAATGAAGACCACCAATCTCATGGAAGCTCTGGTGTAAATTCTGTAATATGCAATGAAGACAATCACATGGCAGCTTTGGAGTATATGCTACAATATTCAATGAAGAAACACACAGGAAGCTATAGCATTGCCTTCACGGTGAGCAGAATTTCTCACTTCAGTGTCATTCTTGTCATGTATGAAGTTGCCATGGCTTTCACCCTAATTATACTCCTTTTGGTTATATTTCTATTTACCTGCTAAACAAACAAACCAAAGCTATGTATGTAACAGTGAATTCATCATACAATCTGTGTATACTACCAAAACTCACTGAGTCTGTTACATTTATTTTATAGTGTTTATTTCTTTTGTTTTTTTCTTAGATTAAAATTTAATCATAACATTTCTCCCTTCCCTCTTCCCACAAAACCATCTCAAATAGCCCTCTCAACTCTCCTTCAAATTTTGGCTGCCTGTTTCATTAATTGTTATTTCACCCATATATGGATTTGTGTATATACTCTGTTGTGCTAAGGCTAAGTGCAGATGGTCTTTTGTGCACAGCCACATTTCCTGCAAAGAAAATTGTACATAGCAGGCACAGAGATCACTTTACTTTTGGAGAGAGTCTCAAAGAGCCATAGGCTTGTATGGCAGAAGCAGAGATACTCCAGAGTCATTTCAAGAAGCTTAGTCTTATATTCCCGAGACACTGAAATCTACATAAAAATCAGGTATAAGGCAGGAACCAGAGGCAAGTCAGCCCAGAGATCATGTACATAATCAAATACCACTGGAAAAATTCAGTGAAATGATTTCTATGATATTCTGCTATACTCATAGATCAGTGACTACCCCAATTGTCATCAGAGAAGCATTGTCCATCAACTAATAGGAGCTGGTACAGAGACTGACAGCCAAACACTAGTGGAGACAGGGCGACCCTGCAAAAGGCAGAGGGAGGAAGTATCTGGAGGGTTTGAGAACACCAGCAGAACATTACTAAGCAACGAA